AGAGCAGAGCAGTTTTGCAAGCGAAAATAGCTCGAGTTGTCAAAAGTTGGTTCTCTGTTAAGCTGGGGATTAAAGCAACAATTAAGATTCCTTTTGATTCTAGTTTTTCGAAGAAGAGGGTAAGGGACATTTGTCTATCAATCATTAGATCTTCATTGATTCACCCTTCCTTGCAGAAGATCGCTTGTAGGAAGTTGAGGGTAGTCTGGGTCAAAAATAAGTATGTTGGTGATATCCTGTTAAATTTCAGGAAGTTTTCGCAACAATCGTCATTCGTTTGTACATGTGGAGAACTCGAGCTTCCGAGACGTGGCGAGCATGTGGCGCTCAGGTTTAGTGAGGAAAACTGGATTTCATGCATTGTTAAAAACAATAAGAACATTCCTTACCCTGCTTTGTGTTGTAACTTGAAACAACTGAGGAATATCATTCTCGATGGACTGAGTAGTATTCAGGAAGGGGTGAATGTTTCTTCAGTTTCGAATCACGAGCTGCGCAACTGTTTTAATAATAATGGTAGGGGTCACTGTCATTTTCTTATGGTAATGGTCTGATAGAAGTGTTTGGGGTTAAAAAACGTTTAAGCAAACTAGTTATGTGCCCGATTGATCATAATGTTGGGGGTACTTTCGCTTGTTGTCCTGTTGTTTTCCAGAAGGGGATGGAATCCCGGTTCACAAAGAATGAATGTACAATAGTCGAAACAACAGGTTATTGATGAAATGAAGAAAGAGTACCGGAAACAAGGAGTGGAGAAAATCGCTACGCTCAATATACAAGGTAGATTGGGAAAAACCTACTGTATCCCCAAGCACAAAAATGTTGCCAAATGACGACCCATCTGCCCCTCCTTCTCTGACCCATTAGTGCGAGTTGTCGAGTTGTGTCGAAGGCGGTGAACAAATTATTGTGGACCCTTCCAAACGATTTTCATTTCAATCTAAGATGTCCTAACGATATGATGGGAAGACTTGAGTCCTTCAACACAAGTATCCTGCCAGGTAAATAAGTGATTGCCTCCAGCTTCGATGTCAAAGAAATGTTCACTGCACTTTCGTACGCCTCGATCATCAAGGCAGTAGAATGGTTGATTTGTTGTTATGAAGAAAAAAGATACAATGATATTTTTGTTAAAAAAAAGAGGAAAAAGGGCCCTCTTGGGGAAACGGGAAAATGCCCCGACTGGATACATTTGGTTACGTTTTAAAGTCTTGCTGAATATATTTGACCTTGGGAATATTTAACATGTCCGCGATGGGAGTATTACTGAAACAAAAAATGGTATTCCAATGGGGAAGTCGCCGAGTCTAGCCTTAGCTTGTCTTCTATGTGCTTTCAATGAATTCGATGTTCTACAACAGTTGGGGAATGTTCACGGAGCATGCTTTTTGGGATGAGATTGGTTGATGATGTCTCAGTTCTCTCCAAATATCAAAAAGGGTCAAACTACAGTAGAACCACTATAAGAAACAGGCTGAAGCGGTTTCAAACCTGCCACGATGATAATCTAGTTCTAGAAATGACAAGCTGCAGTGATACGTGAGACTTCTTGGGTTGTGTTATCAAGCTCTTTCCCCAACCATGTAAGGTGCTTTGTGCCGCTACTCATAAGAATGAACGCTTCATCATCATTGAGGGGATCCTGTTTTAGAGCTTGCAAGACTTCGTTTCCCACTCGGACAAACAGCCAAAAATCTCTGCTATCACAGCATGTCTTCACTGGGCTAAGGCTTTGTCCACAATGCCAGGGGCCGATGCATGTTGCTTGTTTACTTTGAAGATGAAGTTGCGGGCAAGGAACTTCCCGGACGAGTACTTCGATGGCTGCTTGAGAAATTTTTCTTCGAGGATGAATGACTGCTGGATTCATTGGGTGCGATGTTTTACAAAATGGGAACAAAAATACAATGGTTAATCTTTGCAGTTTTTCTGTGTTTAATGGCGGGCAATATCATTATCTTTCTTCAATTTTTCTCGTTAGTGCTTCTAGGACTTGAACCTGGGACCTGTGTTCTAACTCTGCTCTCTACCCTTCCAGTTGGTATCTTTAGGACTTGAACCTGGGTCCTACCTTCTATTTCTACTTTTTATTTCTACTTTTTATTTCTGGTTCCGCTATGACTATATCCTTAAGGACTTGAACCTGGGATCTGGCCTCTATTTCTAGTCCCTCTGTTTCTTTTGCCTTACTGTGTAACCTTGGACTCGATCTGACGACTGCTTGACTGCTGGGTTTAAGTACTTCTAGAAGAATCTGCGAGGGTGCAGATTTCGGTTGGTCGATGGTCCGGTGTACTGTAGGACCAGCGTCGAAGGAATCGAGGTATTGAAGATATAAGACTTTTGTGACAGAGTGTTTTCTTCATCTTGCGCTAGGTACCAGAACAACCCCTGACAAAGTCGGACAGGTGACCGGCAGAAACACGGTGTAGGGTCTCATCGCATGAGTTGCGTCTGTTTTGTCATGTTTTATCTATTGACGCAAACCTGCTCTCGGTTCATTTTTCTCTCTCACGTGTGGTGTGCTTCGTGTATAGTGCACCCTTGTGTGAATTGAACACTTGTGTGTTTACCTCACTATGCCTGATGTTTACAACATCAGATACATTCTATGAGGTGCTGCTGGTGAGACTGTGCCCTCAGTGAGCACATCTGTCCCTATGAAAAACGCATGAAGAGACAGGTGGTTAGTATTTCATCCTTAGTGGAGGGTTCTGTTAGTGGTTGGGGGAGCATTTTCCCTTTCCCCCATTCCTTCAGCATGTCGTTCCAAGTCCTACTCACTGGTCTCGAGGTGAAGGGGCGCATCGGTATGGCTTTCCATTGTGCCTCTGGATTAGGTACTCTCCATTCCCTGGCTAGGGCGTGTTGGGCAAGGATTATCCAGGGCTGTTGCTCTACTGCTGTGAGAGTTCTGACAGGCCATTTTCCCAGCAGGGCCTGGTCCCGAGTCTGGGGTCGAGGATGCCTAGGCCACCCGCAGAACCATGGTTCAGAAGCCCAGAGACTCAGCCCGGTTCCAAGTCTCGGCGTCGAGGATGCCTACACCACCAGCAGAGCCCTGGTTCAGAGGCCCAGAGAAAGCATCTTCCTTCTTCTGCATGGAGAAGGTTAACGACGACAGTATGGTGGTGGCCTCCGAATGGTTGATATAAAGGACTTGAGACTGCAACAAGTGAACGAAGCATACATCATGGACCCTTCTAATATGGAAGAAATTGGGGTAATACAGAGGAAGTCTCAAGAGGGAAACTGTTCCGGACTCAGCCAGGGCTCCATCCCTGGTCCGCCGGTTACCACCCGCCAGGCTGCTATTTTATTTTGCGTTCCTGATCGCCGGTTCTTGACTGCTGGCGCCCTCTGCAGTTGGCGCCCGTTCTCGAATTCCTCCACTGGCACTTTCGGATTTTGATACTTGGCTCCATCCAGCATTCTGGCGCCCAGACGCAGACCTGCGATCCTCAGTTCAGTCCTGAGGCAGGCCGCACCTCGGCCCTCCGGACTGAGCCTGAGTCCGGTACTTAAGTCCGGACTCAAGCCCCGTTGGGGAATTCAGTCTTCGGCCTCAGTGCTTGTGCTTCAGTGTGACTTGCCGCGACTTTGTCTTCGGAATCCAAGATCGCGACTTTACGACTTTGAGACTTTGTAAATTCGTGTCTGCGTCCCTCGTGTTGAGTCGAGTCCGTGTCCGAGTCGAGTGTGTGTGTGTGTGTGCTCTCACTCTCTCCCTCTCTCTCTCTCTTTCTCGACCTCTCTGCCTCGGTCTCGTCACAGAAACCACTTCCAGGTGAGACTACAAGGCACCCCCTTTTCAAGAATTGGGAAGCAGACATTCTCAAAAATGGATGGATTATAACTGATAGCTCAGGGACTATTACAAAAATCCCAATGGCAGACTGCTCCTCCAAGGTGGGGTACAGTCTGGTATTCACAGAGCCAGTGGATGCAAAGCCTCTCTGTCTCAGAGTTGGCAGCGCAGCTCCAAACCTCTGGGACTGGATCCAATCTCACCCAGGTGGCTCCAAACCTCTGGGACTGCATGCAATCTCACCCAGGTGGCTATCTTTCTTCATACAGGTTATACTGCACACACACACTGGAATCCACGGTAAGGGGCCTGCAATGGCTACGCCTACACCGTGCCTGTGTCCCTACGGCGATGTGATGCTTTTTAAAAAAAAAACATTGTTTTTTTTTTTTTTTTTTTTTTTGGG